TTGATGTAAAAGTAGTGTATTTTGGATACGGGAGTGAGATTACTAGTTTAAGTAAAGCTGTGTTAAAGTGAAACTAGACTAGAGAACTTTAAGGTTTCCTGTAGTGCTGAGAGTTGCAGTATTACAATAGTCAAAGGCATCTATTCTATTAGGTAATTAGATCTCACTATTGAACACATCTGCCTATTGTACTATTATAATCCTATTACTATCATCCTCTCCCTAAATAGCTCTGGGTAGTTATATCGTACACTTTATAAATTGGGATATAAATAAAGATTCATTTATGTAACGTGTTAAGATTAGTCATGTCACAGAAACTATGGGTTATTTGTGTTTGTTTTTACCATAAAGTACAAAATTTTTATAATTTGTATGAGAGGTCCTTTAGTTTATTTTACTTCCCCTGTTTATTAAACCTCCCTCTAGTTTTAAAAGGAAACTAAAACAAAAATGTGTTTTAAACAACATTTTGGAATATCTAATACAACACATTCAAGGAACGATTGTGTTTGATTCAATCCAAAGGAGTAATGAGAATTTATATAGTTATAGTTTAAAATAGATTATCATTCATCACATTTGAAGAGATGCATGAAAAATTTACTATTTTTATAACCAGCCCAATAAAGAGCAAGGGATTGTAGCTGTGTGAATTACCTAGTTAAATTCCATAAATCTCGCTAGTCTGCAATCGTCAGGTAGTTTGTAGATTCCGACGATGGCTAAAGCAATAATAACCAACGTCCAACGTGAAGACAGCTGTTTTATACTGAGTAAATTTCCTCTTAGGAAAAACACCTAATCTCTTTCAGCATTTCTTTTCTACTACTGTTTTTAAGGGATCAATTTATTTTTGAGCATAATGAAACTTTTTCATGAGGCAAAATGATCTTAAGCAAAATGCAAGATTAAAACACCCACATACTTTGACGCTACTGTATTATATAGGCCTGACCCCTAAAATGATCAATGATACGGTCTGTGTCCAATAGGAAATCTATGAAAATGAGCAGAAGCCTTTTGTGTAGCGAAATCCATTATTTTTCCATATATCAATCAAAATAATTTAATTTTTATTTTTTTGTAATAATGGATCTAAATCTAAACAAAATAAGTTCAGTATTTCAAATATAAACCTGTCTCCTTAAACCAATTATAATAGAATCATAATGTAATACTTACATACAATTGCACAACAGTTTAGTAAGTTATTGAACAAGCTCTCAGTATGATCTAAATATATCTGCATATAAATCTTCTGAAATCATCTTTCTTGCTGTGGAACAAAATATCCTTATCATCTGAAGGAAGTGCAGTACCTCTGTGCAGGGTTCTTGCATCACCTGTATTGCTTATTGCACACTTTGTCGCAAACAATTTCCTCCGCAGTAACAAGCCAACATAAATCCACTCAACGGCTAAATTACCTTCTGATTGCCAGCTTGGCCACCTTCTCTGCCATTGAAGTTGAAATATTGAAATAAACATTGAGTGTTTGTCTTCAAGTTAATTATAGTCTGTGATAAGCGATAAATAAAAGTTAAGTGCGCTGTGTACTTTTGTTTCGTAACCTGAAGTAACGTTGCTAGTTTTAATGATGGATAACATAAAAGTGTACATACCCTTTTAAAGCATTAGCTCATTGGATTAAAATATGTAAAAAATTGCATTCAGTTTTAGAAATAACTTTAACAAACATTTAACTCCGAAAAGTAATTATTTTCATAAAATATTCATCAATATAAATTATAAATATAGCCTTTTGAAGTTTTAAAATCTGTGCAGAATGGTACAAAATATTTTACTAAATTGCAAATCATAAGAAAACGTGAGAATTATTTCACTGAATAATTGATAATCGTAACAAAAAAGGAAATAATAATGTAATGAGTAGAATAAAGTGGTGAGTGGGTTATGATTGACATAAAAATAATTCAAAATAACAGCTTAAAATGAGATACAATAAAAGCATATAAACAGTAACTAGTTTCTTACACTGCCTATTATTTCTAAGGTCGGCGTTATAGTTTCATGACGTTTTCCTCTTTTTAAACGCTAAATCCTGCAGTATTTTATATATACAATTTTGTAATTCAAGTCAGCACCTTATTTGAATGAAACAACTTTATAACTTCATCTCTTAGAACGATGCAATAAAAACACGAGTCTCAACTTAAAGATGCCCTACATTTGGAAAGAGGATTATTAGGAATGTAGATTATATTGGTTAGGAATAAACCAAATTGGCAAAGCTAAGTTATCAAACCGGCGAGAAGTTCGTAGTTTCCATACTGAGATGCTGTGTTGTTCGCTATCCGCTTACCATAATATTAAGATCTTCCAGGTGCCATTGTGCTGATGTGATAATCCCATATTGAAATGTCCCAGGATCGCGACCTATTACAATAGACCACCAACCTATATTAAAGCGCTCGGGTTGATAATATTTTGTTATCGGTTTATTAAAATTCTTTCAGGACGGAATACTTAATAAAACGAGACTTCCACATTGATGGGGCGCTGTCTTATCTTGAATCACGGTAAAGTAAATCTGCACCATAGAATTATAAATTGAGTTTGAATTTACATCATTCTCCGAATGGTTTGCTGTATCTGTATATTATATGAGGGTATGTTATGTATATCGGTAAGTGTTCCTAATTAAAAACTTGGTATATAAGTTAATACATTACGTTTGAATCTTAGGGTAATTATTTTTGCCTAAAACTTAGAACAATATCGTATTTTTATAATAAAAATATATTCAAAAACATAAATCATTAAATGAAAATGCTTCTTTAGAAAATTAAAACTAAAATATTACCCATTAGAAGTTTAATTATAAATTAGGTATGGTTTTACGTAAAATCATAATAAGAACAGAAGTTTGGTTTAGGTTTTATTTATGAGCAAGGGTATTCTATATTTCAAAATTATATTAACCTTCTACAGAGTAGCATTATTTTTAACTTTATTCCTAAATTCTAAAAAAATAATCGAAAGCTGCACTTTAAGCCTTAGTGTAAGAACAGGGAAACCCCTGTTTGATATTTGTGTTTTAATGGCTGTCCTATTAGTTTCCAGGCATAGATTAAGCCTTGTGACCATTGTCACAACTCAAATCTTTTCAGGAATATCTACAAGGAAAGTATGCGACGTAGAAACCCCTTAAACATCAACATCCAACAGCTTTATCACCGTTACATAAAACAGGTTTACAATAGTACCTGTTACCGAAACTGTTAAATCACCTTATTTAAACACAGACATTAATAACGCGCGATGAGTTGCTACCTATTGTTGACTGTTTATTTGTTTTCCACGGCAGATGCGAATGACAAACACCTCGTTTGTTCTCATTCAAGCGGTGAAATAATGGCGGAATATGTTACGTTGAATATTAATAAATTTTACCCGAAAACCATTTTGTATGGCGAGGTGCAACATTCGTCACTCTTACCTGTGACGTTATTAATCACGTGTGTGTGTTTGTGTGAGTGTGTGGCCAGGTGAGATATGATACTAGCCCCGGTTGCGGTGCTCTCATACCACTTAATCTATGTGCTATAAACTATATGGTTTACTTGTGAAATATCTCGCAGCAGTTTATAGTTGTGTCTCTCTCAATGCATTGTTATAGTAAAATTGCTAACTTATAACAATGGTAAAACGTAAGAGGCAAGTTTCTTACATGTGGATGAAATGAATACGTAAGGAATAAATGAAGGATGACCTTCAAAGTCCGTTTTGCTAACTGTGAATTAATATTTTTTGAAAGTAGATGTTTATTCTAGTGAAATGTTTAAAGATTCAATTATTTAGTTGTGACAATATTTAAATATCCTTTAGCGTACACTATATTGTTTTAAATTTAAATCTTGATGGTCAGTCTTTTGTGACGATTTCCATCACAGCATTTGACATAAAAGGAAGGCATTTGTCTAAACTAAACTATGTATAATTTTCATTAATTGAAAAACAAGCTTAAACATCGAATTGGAGTTTTTTGTTTGCAAATTGTAAATAATAATTTCCTACAAGGCTCTATAACTAAACACTATCGTCGTTCCCTTGAATTTCTCATAATTTAGCCCCATTATCAAATTGAAGCATACTATTATTTTCCACCTGAAAACTAAGGTTTGGGACAGTAAACTTTTTCCAAGGAATATTTCACAGTCATTAGTTCTCATGGAAACATGAGTTATTGCAGAAATCTGACAAGTAGGAGAATCGCAACGTTGGTTATCGATAGGAGTGTCGCTCGGCGTTACAAATTGGATCTGCCCATTTATTGTCAGGATGATCGAATCAACCCAACGCACAAGATTACACTGAAACTTGAGGTTTATTTATTTTATTTGTCCCCTATTGTTCCTGAATTTACAATAATTCTAAAACCAAATAAATAAAAACAAGAAGTATACTCAGTTTTTTTGCTGTCGGGGATTTGTTGCTAGTTATAAAATTCAGCTTTTAGTGTTTTTTATGTTCAATTTTTGTTTACTTAATTAACGACATCCAATAAAAAATATTTTGTAATATGCATTAGCAAGTTGTTTTGAAACTAATCTATAAGTAGTTAAGTTTGTTTTTATGTTGACTTTGATTTTGAACAATACGTATCCCCGTATAAAGTCGAGTGGGTTTTCGTAAGTTTTTGATGACTAGTGATATAATTTTATCGATCGGTTTGAGCATGTATAGGCTTATTATGACATCGTTTGATTATAATATGAGTTTGGCCATATAATAGTCTTTAGGTTTTTTATATTTAGGATTGTATGAATAAATTAAATGCATAAATCTTATTTAAAATATAAAACATTTTTGATCAGATTTACTGGTTTAATAAATATCTGAACTAAAACTCAGACGGAGTTTATTTATGGTTTTATTTTTTTATTTTTCAACATATATTATTTATAAATCTGTACAATAGATTTATTGATTACTTTTATGTTTTGTCAATATTAATAAACTGTGTATTGTTGCAGGTTTGAAGAGAACAAGGATTAACATTGAAGGTAAAGACTTTCCCTTTTACAATTTTGTAAACAGAGTAATTTTTTACAAACTCTGAATCTGTTGGTTCAGTGGTTGTAAGTGAAACAACAAACGATGTAAGAAGGCTCCAAGCTTTCTAATGGGCGACGCCAGAAAACAAACGCTGTAAAAATAACTTTTTACCACCAACCGGCTTTCTTTGTTGGAGATTTAAACGGAAAACGCCTTAAACACTTGTTTGTATTATATTTTAGGAACAAGTACTTTTAAGTCCTTTCTTACAAAAATAAATGTATACTTCAGATAAATACGTTAGTAAATATTTTTAAATCAAATTAAATAATTTCAGAAACATATAAGATTCACTTATAGCTATATTATTTGAACTAGTTAAATAATGTGATTATATAAGGCAATAGACTTATTTCCCCCTATAATTCTTGTACCTAACATACACCTTAGTATAGTGTTAGACACATCTGTTAGGTATATTTACTAGAGTCAATACGTATTTTGCTCCATAGCTGTGCAACATATGACAGGTCCATCCTATCCTATCGATTATAATACCTAGAGTCACTAAGCGATGATGATTACCTTTACGAATGATTATCAATGGTAGATGTACATCAACGGTGATAGTTAGCCATGAAATGATTGGCTGCAATAATTGTCTATGATAATAGTTAACTATGATAATATTGGTTAAACACGATAACTTGCTAATATGTTGATTTTCAATCGGTCACGATGGAAATTATGGATTTGCATATTAGCTTTGATTTTTCTGATAATATTCCATGATAATAGTTTTCGTTGATTTTTATCAAATGGTGACGTGCTGCTATGATGATGGTAAGCTACGATTTGAATGGCAACTGTCCATAAATTGAAATTCGAGTCGGAGGTGGTTTTCGGTTACATATCGAATTATCTTTGACTACTTTTAACACGATATGACAAATAGTACTGACCGACATTTTGTCATAAGTAGGGCAAATACAAATATCCGCCCCAAAAACTCGAGGCCCCTAACAAACCCCAATATAGGTTACTGTGGGCGAGGTTTCAGGCCCAATCATAGCTCAGGGGAGAGAAAATGACACGGCTCATCTGTCACGCTGTAAATCGAGTCGACCCAATTCGTTCTGGACCTTCTGGTTCGATAAACTCAAAACCCAAAACGTGTGTAGAGCTACTGTAGAACTTGGTAAGCAGCTGGTCTTGCTTGTAGAATGGGGACTGTTTTATTGTTGTTTTATTTCCAGTCAATCTTATGTTTATGTACTTCTTGGTGGTGAAAAATGCCACACCTGTTAACAATGCTTGACTTCGATGCATGAAGTTATAACATTTTAGTGTCTTTGTTCTAAAATTTCCGTTGTACAGCCATATTCAGTCTAAGCCTTCTCAATACGTTGGAATAGTTTTATTAAACGTTTAACTCAATAAATCAATAAACATTGAGACAATAATTTTTAACTTTTTTAATGTAGTAGGCCTATGTCATTGTAGTTTTTGGGATTTTCTATTCAATTTAATTTATTGTTTCCCAAATCTTCATTTTATATTGAATAAAAAAAATCTACGGTACTTCGTACTACAAAGAAAAGTTCAATGAGGTATCCTAACCAAACCACACACATTTAAGCGCTAAGTTTGATTAACTTTAACCCTGAAATGTTTGAACAACACAGGTTAAAGGTTATCTTTAACGCCGATGTTTTGAAGATTCCCTTGATAAAAACTGCAACATCCCGCGAGTACTTACCGAGAAGCAAAGTTAAAAGATATTGCCACTGTGCGAGCAGCGCACCTGTGTATCTTCCTTGTAAACTAATCCATATTGGGATATATTTTGTTGTATACCTGTGTAGCCTTTCTATAATACCATACAGTACACTATGGTATATATTATAAAGAGCTTCTTAATATACGTATAGTCTCAAACCTGTGTTTGTATATTTTTAAATTATATTTTTTAACGAAATCTACTTGACCATCATGAAATCGAAAGGTATATTATAATAATTTTTCTCTAGAGTCATAGTAAGATGATAAAAGCACTTATCATTCACACCAACACAACATATACTCTACACTCACGTTATATAATTTTAGGTCATAAACAAACATGTTCGGTTTCCTCCTACCAAAGTTCTCTCAAACTAAAACGACATAAAAAGCTGGGTTAGAGTAAAACAGAATATAAATCACAAAATAAACTAAGAACAAAGTTAAGTCTCCTTTATAAATATTAAAATGGGTCTGGAAAAGAAGCTTAGTTATTCTACGATACACGAGGTCGGGTGTATCATTTATTGAGGCTACTTTCCACGAAACTGGAGGGAACCGTTAAGGCCCTTCACTTCAGAAATGTAATGAGTCATGAAAAGTAAATACGGTCGAACGTTGAAACAACCTTTTCACCGCGCGGCGCCATTCCAATGTTGGTTTTCACTTTCGATACTCTTATCGGAAACAGACGTGCCTCTCCGTTGAGCCCGCTCTTTGAAAAACACTTTCTGTTCAATTCGATAAAAAAGGTGGCTTTAATAAAGAAATACACTGGGTCTTTTCAATTAGGAGTGTATTTCTTAAATTGAAAAATAATTTCTAGCAAAAACTAATCATAATTAGTTATAGGTTGAAAATTATTAAAGGATAAAAATTAAGTCCTGTAGGTATTGCTTATACAAGTTAATATGTTTTTAAGTTCATGGACTGTTCCTACACAAAGTCTTTGAAGTACTAGCTTCGGGAGGTAAGGAAACAATATTAATTGTTCTAGTGGTTAAATACCTTTTTGTTGCCAACGTAACCCATTGGTCGCGACCGGTTTCGTACTCAGGGTGTCATTGTCAAGCCTTAAGACGTGTCGTCACTCCTAAAATGAAAGTAAGGAAACTCCTCCCACTTTCCTTTTCTCCCGAAACGTATTTTCATTAAAACACTTGTAGGAAATTTCCATGAACTAAAATTGAAATTGTATATTTTTTGGTATTATGAACTTCAAAATGACAGTCAAAATGTGTTATATTTATTTGCGTTTTAACTAGTTGAGTAGCTTAAGTTATTCTACTCTCTTACCCAGAGATTATGAAGTGTTCACCTGACCAAATAAATGTAACGTATGTATACATCCTAGTTTATTGAAAGTTTAGGCTTCACACACTGAGGCAAATAAGCCAGTAGCTGAATCCAGAAATGACCAGAGAGTGATGACAGTCACCTGTCATAATCAGCTGATCAGTGACGTCAGTGATCAGCTGTCATCACATGTTGAGTCAGCTGGCCACTGCTCTTCCATTCAATTAATTGTCCAAACAACCAGAGTTCGTGGTATTTATTAGAGCTCATTGTGGGGTGTGGCATCTGTATTGGTAGCAGTGGAACGCGTTGGTTAAATCTGTTACTTGAAAAATCTTCTGTAACCATAATTATTTAAGTAATATTTTCAATTTACTTAATATTAATTTAAGCTTTATTTGTGTTTTAATTAGAAAAAAAATACCGTAGTAGGAAGTTTGTGTGTTTTAGACTCAAAATCAAAACTTGAGTTACTGCACGTCAAAAAGGGTTAAAGGTAATTCAAGTTTTTTCCCTCCAAAGATAAAGACAACAATCCAAATTTAAAGGACTGTATATACCATCACATTCCACACTAGTATAAACGTAAGTTAAAAAGTATATTTTTCTTCAATCCATTGATGAAAATTGAAAGTCTCTGAACCTTATATGGTAAACTACGTAGTTTTTTAAACAGGTTAAAAACCTGTTGTACAATAATCCAATTTGTCAATCGCCAGATGAGAAAACGGATTCTTGTAAGTACAACCTTTACCTGTTCATGACTCCTAAGAGGTCTTATAACTCCTAGCTTTTAGGTTCTAATTAAAATTTTCGGTGTTAAGTACTTATTAATTTTCCTTTATAAAATCACACAGCTCTTTTTTGTTACACATTTTCTCAAAATGTTGAGCGCAGGTTGATTATAATCCAATAGCCTCCCTACAAAATGTCCATCAGAAACACCCCGGGGCAAAAAATCCAATAAACCCTCAACTGGTGATACAATGTCACGTAAACACGTTAGGGAGAGGGTGCATACCTTAAAAAGACGTATATCAACTGGTGCTAGGCTCAGGGAACATCAAAAGGACGTTATTTAAATGATAAAGGCGAAGGCGGTGTTCTGGTGGAACAGTCCTGGTAGTGGTGGCAGGTGCAGGGCTAAGGACTCCCCGTCGGGTAACGGGGTGTGTGAAAAGGATATGGTGGGGTCTGCATGAAAAGGATTTATGGTTGACAGTTCATTAAATAAGTGAAATGACGTTTTTAGGTCGTATCCACAACAAAAAGTTGGGTAAATGGAATTAAAGATTTTAGAAAATTCGTGTAACTCAATTCAAATTTCTTTTGCGTCAGTTTGGTTCTGAAAAAGGTCATCAACCGGGTTTAACGTCGTAAGTAAACACAATTTGGAAATTAAACACAAATATTTTCTGGTAAACAATAAATATCGTTTACATGGTATTCTGAATCATAGTAACGTGTTTTTCCATAAATGTCTAATAAAAAGTAGTCTACTTAAAAAATAATTTCAAGACAAAATAATATGAATATTTGAGTATAGAGGGTGATAATTAAAACGTTTAGTCCTTTTAGCCAACTAAGACATCCAGAGTTTGCGATGCCCGTAAAATATAACATTGCAAGTAATAGACAGTAGTTGAGTGCATTTTAGTTGATATATATATACATTGTAAATTATAATACTCTTCTTAATACAGTATGAGTACGATGAAACCCAAGGTGCAATTCTGAGGTAACAATCAGAGAAGGTTCACAACGGGATGCCTTTCATATGGTAATTCTACCAGGAAACATACAATCCCTTAATGCGTTTGTCTCTGTAGGCTTCGTGTTTGTCGCGAATATATTCGAGCTCCACCAGCAATAAGTACAAACATGTGGAGCTACATACCAATCTTAAAGGTAATAGGGTAAAACATATCCA